TAAACAGGGCAACGCAAGCCATCCCAATCCATCGGATTGTTCCATTTATGCTGCTACTCCCTCCAATTAAATGCAAGGGAGCACAAGTGACAGGCACGAGTAAGACAGGCACGCAGAAAACCAGATTCTAATGCAAAAGCTGTGACGAGAAAACGGAATCTACGCACCTGACAGGAATATTAATGCAAAACCTTGACCTATAATTTCTCTTTCTTCAGTCTGAGAGAGCCAGCAACAATTGCAGCTCATTAAAATGGACCACGTCCTGACAGTCATGCATAATGCCCAAGTCCCACGAGTCCCACGGTCTAAACATTTGCCTTGTGGGCTTTGCCAGCAGGGGACTCGTGTGACGTGGGCGTTATCGTAGAGCTGCATGGTCCTGCATGGCTGGGAACAGGGGACTGCAGCCAACCCTGAAGACCCCTTCTCCCTTTTAAACTTGGCGTCATGAAAGAAAGAGCAAGGGGAAAAATAAATCCAAAAGATGAACTCAAAAGTGCCGGTTTGGATCGGACATCTGGAGTTCATCTGAGCCATCTCTCTGCTCGAAGCAGGGCCAACTTCAAAATTAAATTCAGTTTGAAAGTTACCTCGGGTGGCTCAGTGCTGAGTACTTCCAAGGATGGAGATTTTACAGCCTTTCTGGGCAGCCTGTTCCAATGGTGCTGTGTCGAGGCTCAGTCTGGAAACCGTTTACCACATCACAACAACATCTGGGTCTGCTTTCTTAACTGTTTTCTAGATGCAAAGTGTGCGCTGGCATGTGGGATGCAATAAGCATCAGTAGGAAAGGTGAGACCATCACGCAAAGACAATTTTTTTGCAAGGAAAAGAGATCAGAAGGCAGTCCCACATGAGAGAGGGCAAGAAGGAAGGCACTGCGGTATTTTATTCCGAGTTTGGCGCTGCTTTTCTGTAAGGCGCTGCCAGAGCAGTTCCTGAAGATGGAACGACCAAAGTGTTGTCCAGTTTGGGCTTGGTATTTGGCACAGACTTGAGATGTCAGGGCTGAAGTTAGCTAAGGTAGAGCAGCAGACACAACTGCAGCTCTTTCTCCACTGAGCAGCGAGGTCTGTATCCCTCTCCGGAGCCACTTCTCCCTCGCTTTGCTCCCTTTGGAGAGAGCCGAAGGCAACAAGCTTCCCAGCCCTGACACCTCTGATACGTGTGAAGATGGATGGGTTGAACGCAGCCCTAAAATATTTTACATTTTCACGGCAGTTTCACAGCCCTGGCATTATCAAATGATCTTTCCGTGTACTTGGAAGCAGGAGGAGAACAACTTGAGATGGATTCTGGCTTTTTTGTGTCTGTGTACTTGCAAAGTGTCTCTGCCTACACATCTCGCAGGGCCTGCGCCTCTTTGGATACGCACACGGAGAAGTGGTGCTCGCGTGGATGCTCCGTCTGCTCCACTCCCTCCTGAAGTTTGGAGGCTGCTCAAAGCAGGTCCCCATGCCTGGGTGGTTCAAACCAAACCTGCCCTATGCACTGTACTCTACTGAGCAGGCTCGTTAGGAACTCGAGGCTAGGAAACACAAGACAATTATAAAATCTGAACAAAAGTAGGAGATGAAGGAAACCAGCTGGAAACCTCTATTTTGCTGATTTTTGAAAGCAAAATGTGGGTCACAGATGTGCTTCCACAGACAGAAACTGGCTGGAGAAGAAAGACATCAGCAGTGCCCAGCTGCTTTGATGATCAGAGGTAGATTTGGCTCCAAGGCATGGAGACAAGAAAGGAAGAGGAGACGGAGTAAGAATAAAAACATAATCAGGAGATTAGGAATGTGGAACTCAACCCACCCATAAATTTGCCTTAGGGAATGATGAAAAAATGCAGTAACAAAAGAAGATGAAACCAAATGCTCCATCTTACTCTCTTCCCTTCTCTTGCTGTCCTTATGGTTTTACTTTTTGCTGCCCAAGACACAGGAGGACCCTTACAGAACCTGCTCTCTTCCTCGGTCATGTGTTTTGCTGTGCAAAAGTGCTGTTTCCTATTGTTCCTTTGCAGCAGCCGAGGACAGGCTGACGTTAGAGCCAAAAGCAGCAAGACTTCGCAGGGAAGCCCACACCGTTCGGCAGGCGTGCATGGCAGAGTTGAAAGCAACGCGCTCCTGGTCATCTCTGACAGGAGAGAAGAGCGAGTACTCACTCCTTGTTTAGGCTAATATATCTGTTTTCAGGGAACTTAATGATAGACTAATAAAAGCCATGCTGCTACCTCTTGCAGGCTGCTGATTAGCTGGTGACTCGGTCTCCCAGGGGCCGTAGCAGAGTGCTTGTTGTTTGAGCCATTTGAAAAACCTCAAGGTAAAGCACTGGAAGAGCAGTGCAGGACAATGGCAGCACTGCCTCGGAGAAGCCCAAGCCGTGGTTCCTTAGAAATAGCCAGGCCATGGAAGGGGGCTTCTGAAAAACATTTGGGGCATTCAGCTTCTGGGGTGAAGGACGTGCCTGGCCCGCTCTTGGCCACCACAGGACCCGGTCGCTTTGTGCCTTCAGGCTTGGCAATGTGTGCTGAGCAGCTGTGGTGTGCGAGCTCTGACCCCTGCAGCAAACCTCCCTCCTGCCAGCAAAACACCAGTCCCTGCGGCTTAACACCAGGAGAAGCCTGAAGTGAGAGCGATGCTAGCACAGTTCACTGCCCGTCGCCATTCTGCCAACTTTGGGGAACTTCAGATTCAGTTCTTGCCTGGAATTTGTTTTTCTCAGCCCTAATGAAAACACATTTTGTAGTTGCTAGTGTTTTAAATCCAGTATCAGTGTCAATAAAGATAAGCCCTTTCCTGCAGGGGGAATAAATAGAAAACTGTCTGCAATCTTTTGCTCATGCAGAAGAAAACAACCCCAAAGCACTGAAGGAATAAATGAAAAATCCGCCTATTTTCACTCAGCGTCCACTGGCCGTGAATAAGTGCCAACTGGGCTCTCGCTTGCATCACCATCTGGTGTGGTGGCACCAGGGCCTGGAGGTGCAGCGGGACGTGTCAGAGTGCCCTGCCCTGCGACAGCATCTCTGCTCCTGGTGATGGAACCACCAGAGGCTCCCAAACGGCAGCAGGTCCATAAATGCAAAGGATTTTGTTCTCTTCAGCTTCACCATCTGACCTAGCCCAGAGGAAACAAGTGTTCAGCCACAGCGCGGCTGCGAGAGGCAGCACAGCCCTGCCCTGGCAAGGATGATCGTGCATCCTCCTCTAGATGCAAGGGGTTTTGTTCAAGACACCAACATCCATTTTCCTGGGCTGCAGCCACACGTTGGTGTTGCTGTGAATACCACTAGAGCCTCTTCAGCTGATGCCTAGAAACTGCTTGTGGTTTCAGAGCTCTTGCTGACGAATTGCCCAGCAGCTGGTCACGTTGGGAGGGCTATGCTTATTATTTGCAACTGCTATCTTGCATGGAAGGAAAATCAAAATACTTTCCTCAAGGTAATTGGCTCTAAAACAATTGAAGAATTTTCCACAAGGTTGTAATGCAATTAGGACTGGCATTTTATATAATTTATCTCTCTAAAGATACGATTATGCCATCAGACCCTTCTTTTGTGAACAAAAAAAGATGCTGGCAAAAGAAGGCTGATTTTGCTGTCACAGACAACGAGATACAGATTAAACATGGACATCAACCTAGCAGTGATTAAAAGGCGGCACCGTGTCAGGATCACCACTGAGATGTAGTCGCTCGTGGTGAGAAATGGTTGGGCAGGATGCTGTGACACCAACCCCACATCTGCAGGTTTGGTTTTCGGTCAGTGCCAAGGGATGTGTCATCGCTCGCCTTCTGCTGCAGCACCGCAAGAGCAGAAATAACCCCGTGCTCCTGGCTGCCCCGCCAGCTGGGATGGGAGGAGCTGGTGCAGACTGGGGAAGATCAGGCCCACCACACAGAACAAAACCATCAGCCAGGCCAGTGCTTGCATTCATGTTTTGACAGATATCCAGGAAAACCCTAAGCAGAGATGCCAGACAATCCAAACACGCAGTACCAGCTCCAGAAGTGCATGAGTCAGCTGGTGAACTTGTTGACACGGGACACTGTGAAAGCCAAAAGCATGGGCTTTGGGTTCCCCGGTCACCATCTGGGGAAGCCTCTGTTTCCCTGACCACCAAAAGGTCCAAGGGTACAACTGGGGAAAAGATCACTCTGTGCTTGTTCCTTATGCTTATACTGAACCACGTTTTACTGACTACGGCCCAAGACACAGTACAGGGCCAGGAGACATTTTGCCTGACTGCACCAGCTGCTGTGATTGAAATTATGGGATGAGAACCTTTAGCCACCTTGCCAAGGTGGAGGCAAACAGACTGGATGAATTATCACTAGAAATGGGTCTGAACTGAACCTGGGGAGGAACTCAACATTTCTTCAGAGCCAGAGCAGTCGTTTATGGGTAGATGCCCTGCCCTTATGATGGGATGAACCAAAGCCATGGACGCAGACAATCACCATTAAAAAAATCTGGATGTGGTCCCTGATGGTAGAGATGTCACTGACTGCAACAGAGAACAACGCAGTGCCACTGTAAAAGCAAAGATGTCCCTTACCCTTGGTTGTAATCCGGCTGCATACCAGCAGTGTATGACCACCAGAAAAGCAAACCCAAGAGCTGTACTGCTATACAAAGCAGATGATCACACACTGCTGTCATCTATCAGACAAATGAAGAAGTCATTTGCCATGTCCACAGGCTGGTCTTCCTCTGCCCACTAGATTCATGTTTGTAGAAACCTACCTTGAGCTGCTGGGGAGCGGTTTTGGAACCTGGTTTGCGGGGCGGTCACAGACCTGACCCCAGACTGGCCAGAGGGGACGTGAATGTCCTCCCTGATCCTTTCTGCCTCACAGCAGCCCGTGACACAACACACATCCCAGTCTGTAAGTGGAACTGTGTTCAGATCCACTGCTGTGCAGTCATTACCTTTAGTTAAAACTTTAACAAGCTCAAATGCAGCTCCTTAACACAAAGGACTATGGACAGGGACACTCACTATTGGGCCGAGTCGTTAAGTTGATATTCCCGGGACCGGTTGAAGCATTCTTGGATCCCAGAGTCTGCCCAGAGTCTCATCATAGCTGACAGCAGCTCTGGAGAGAAGGGCTCTGTGTCCTCCATCCGACTTACGACATCGCAGACCATCTTGGCATCAGCCTGCAGAGGAAAGAAACAAGAGGTCACAGAGATGCTCAAGGCAGAATTGCGAGCCAGAGATTTCAGAAACAGTTCACCAAGCCATCAGGAGTAAAGAGGTTGCATTTCTTGGGACACGGCTTTAGGATCCACACTGTAGGATCCAGCAGAAAGGGCAAAAGGAGAATGGAGCAAGGCAGCCCCAAGGAAAGAGGTTATTTGTGCAATCCACGTCACGTCAACAAACATTTCTGTTCAGCAGACAAACCAGTTGGCACTGCATACGTGTGGAGCTCCTTGGGAACAGAAGGAAAATCATATAAGTACAAGTATATTTTAAATTGCTAGTAAAGTGACGCACATCCTGCAGTGGTACCTGTTTTAACCGAGTGTGTAACCTTGCTGAAGCAGGGGCCGTTTGTGTCAGAAAGGACAGCAGAAAGGCTCCAGAAACAGGTTTTTTTTTCAGATGCTGGTTTACTGCTTTTCCTGAATCCTTGTTCTCTGCTGTGTGCCCCTGCAACAGGGGATAATTCCTGTTCTCACAGACCACCTTGGCTGGCTGCTGAGCTCTGTGACTCAGAGGGAGAGGAACCTCCCGCGGCTCGGGAGCATGGCAGCCAGGGCAGGGCCAGCTGGCCCTTTTCGGATGCAATCTTTCTTGATGAGAAAAATGTGATTCACTGCAACAGCAACTTTTCCTGGAGGACAGCATTCTGACACAGCTCGGGTCCGGAAGATGTCTAAGATTTAGGATGGGAAAGTCTAGACAACCTGGGAACAGCTGAGTTCAGCCCTACTGTCATAGTCCATGTGCCTCCAGTTATTTGTGAAGCAGGACACTCAAATTCATGACCCATCTCTGCTTGCATTGCAGGAAGTGAATCTCCTGCAGATCCTGCAGTGATGATGGGAACGGCCCAGCTGCTGAATGGGTTGCTCTCCCTGGGTACTGGGGACAAGGTGTTACAGGTTTTGTGGCAAAGCAAGGAGATAATTTCTTAGGTCATGGGTACAATTACAAGTGGAGGAGCCACTCTAGCACTGGAGACTGAAGCTGCTGGAGACTTCACTGCTCAGAGGAAGAGCCTCAAGTCCTCTGAACAGCCAGTCTTTGCGGGCTGAAGATGTCTCAGTTCTGTATGGAGACAGCATCCCATAAAACTCAATGGGGTGGCGTCTCCCCGCTTTGAAGGCTTTATGAACACGAAGTCTTTTTCACAGAATACTTCGCTTCAAATTTCGGTGCCCAGGACTCCTCCTAGCCCTCTGCACAGACTCCGCTCATTTCTGAGAAACAGGATCGGTGACTCACACCTCAAAGCCGAGACAAACGAAGAACCTTGAAGAGTTCAGTTAATTTCAAAAGCTTGTTTTCAGCCCCAGAGTGCTCTGTGAGCTCAGTGAATATTCATAAATTGTCAGTACGGTTTGCCTGCCCTGCTGGAGCTGTAATTCTCCTCTTTTCACAGCCTCTAAATAACACAAAACCTGCTAATGGCCAGTCCGCTCGGGGCTGCGGTCTGGCACGGCTGTTATTTGTGCGTGGATGGTGCAGGAACAGCAAGTATGCTTTCAGTCAAGTAAGGAGGAGGTATTTTGTGTCTTATCTTGACTGCTGGGGGGGATTATAGGTGTAAGTCACAGATCTGTCCATCTGTCTGTGATGGCAAAGCGCATTTGAAGCTATTACGGGAGGTTTTCTGATTTAACGCAGGAGAGTTTGAGCAGAGGACAGGGATGCACAGCTACGACAGGGCAGAACGGGAGGGACCAGGGTCAGGCACCTCTGGCTGTGGTTATCAGGTCTGCTTGGGCCAGGAGTGGGACTGAGCTCGTAGTACAGGGGATTACCTTGGTATGTGCCCCTCCGCAGTGACCGAAGGTCCCTTTTTGGGGATGGGAGAGGTGGCCCTCCCGCAGTGCAGGCTGGAGCAGGGGAACGGCTCATAGGTAAGTTTATTGCTTCTGCAGCCTGGTAATAAAAATATTCCAGCCTTTTTCCAGTTTTATTTTGCAGAGCGAACCACTGAGCTCTCCGTTTTATAGATCCAGAAGAAGCAGGTGACACGAGTATTTTCAAAAATACTCCTCCCCCCTGCCAAGGATGAAGCCCCTCTGTCAAGGAGCACGGGGCCATCCAGGAGTTCAGGCATTTGTGAGATGATTTAACGAGCAATTAAGGAACCAAGAAGAGACGATATCCCTTCCTTTCCTCACTCTCCAGGCTGCATCTCAAGCTGGGAATGACATTAAAAATCTCCAGCCTCCCCTGGGCCCAGCAGGTAGATTTTTAAATACTGCCTGATTGACTTTTCCCTCCCCGCCTCCCCCGGGTCTGGCTCTCCTGCTTTTCCCGAGGTGAGAGGAGCCAAGCCTCCCGCCACGCTCTGCCTCTGTGCTGCAGCCAGCAATTAAAGAAAGCAAAACAAAACACACCAACCTGGTCCCCCCCAGCCCTTGCAGCTCCCATCCGATGGGGTTTTCGTTAATGAATATCACGGTGGTATTTCAGCTACCTCAGGAACTAAAAATAGGCAGCACTCAGCCCCTGGGACTGCTGGAAGGAGCCACATAATGGTGCAGAGCTGCTTCCTCCATGGCAGCCTCTGCCCTTCCCCGGCTGCTCTGTCCCCTGGGCACGAGGTGGTTGGGAGGAGGGCAAGAGGTTGTGCTCATCTCTTTCGGGCTGGTTCTTACCCGGTAGGAGCATCCCAGCACATCCCTGCAGCTTTCCTATGCATCCCACTGCCACTTCCCAGTGGCTTGCATTTTCCATAGCGGGTCAAACCCTAACCCCTGAGCTGATCGCCTGTGGGTTGTTTGTTACCGAGAGAGGGATGTGTTCAGGTCAGTGACAGTCCTGAACGTGCCCACCTACAGCGGGAGAACGGGCTGGGATGGGAAATTAAACATCCAGGCTTTAGCCATCAAGCTGAAAGACCAAATAACACTTTGTGAAAGAACAAACCTCAGGGAATGGAGGGGACTCCGTACCTGACAGCGAAATCCAGAGGCAGGAGTGATCAAGAAGCTCATGAACTGAGCGGGAAGTCAGCACATCTCCATTCTGACCCTGGGTCGTGTGTCTACCTTTGCAGCAGACACGCGGTATAAACCCAGTTCATAAGGGGATCTGTTTCTCACGAACCTGGACAGAACTGCAGTTATTTAATTGTCGCCCATATGTCACTGTCACCGAGCACGCAGGCTGAGCTCAGCAAGCGAACTTGTGACTTTGCCTGCAACAGCCACATAGCCCAATTAATTTGTTACCTTGCTGGAAGGGAGAGGGGCTCTTGGTGGCTGTCAGACGTTACTGGCAGTCGTGTTTATCTCTGCAAGCTACTTACGTTTCATCATACAGATACAGATCACCTCTCATTATCTGTTCCTCACCACCAGCCATGACCTGTGCCCGATGGCACCAGCAGAGCTGCTCCTGCCCTGCCTGCTCTGGAGCTGCACTGGAGTGGGCTTCAGGTCCCCATCTCTCTGACCATACCACGGTAAATTCTGGCTCTGATCCTTTGAAAATGCCTTGACACAAACTAGGGGGGTTTTCCCCTCCTTTTTTTCAAAAACACAGTCGTTTTCTATGAAGTTCTATTTTGTATGAATAGTGAAGCTAAGAGGTACAAACCCGGTTACCCCCACAGAGCCGCACTGACTGACACCCGCAGCAGAGCTGACCCAGCGTGTCACCCCGTACCGTGCCTTCCTTTTGGTGAACTAAATCCCAGTAAATATCATTTTTGCTGTTATTTGCTCTGATTAATCATACTTGTCACTCAGCCTATCTCAAAGGTTAACACCGGGGCAGTTTCCTCTGGTGACTGCTTGTACTCGAAGCTGCATCTCAGAACACTTCAGAAAATGCATGCGGTGGTGGGGAAAGACAAGAACTGCGTTTTGCCGGTGGTGCAAGACAAATCAGAGGCGCAGTGCTAATTATCAGCAAATGAATCTTGTGAAGAGTAACGGCCATCACCAGGCAGGAACGTGGGTGAAATCAAACTGATCTCTTGAAAGCATCACGCATCCCCAGAGGATGACCCTGCAGGGGGACCTTCCTGGGGGACCCAGATCCTGACCCCAGGGCAGAGCAGTACTCTCCTGCGCTACTCCAGTGAGAACCAAGGCCCCGTAACTTGGGGATAAAATGTGGCTTATAAAATGAAAACCTCCTCCTCCTCCTTAGAGAGCATCTCAGAAATGCAAACCCTGCTTCCCAGCTGAAATCACAGCAGAAGACGGTTCTTTTCATGGCATTTGCAGCCTGAATGAACTTTGGAACCAAAGCAGAGCTGGTGAATACGCCTCTTCCAGAGACGTTCAGGGCCCGGCTCCAAGTCCATAGGAGTTTTTGTAGATGCTGAATAAACAGCCACACGTATGACCCTCCCCCTCACTCACCCTCTCTTTCTCACACATCTGTGTTTCAGAGCTGACCTCTGAATCTGTGGAAATCTGTCTGGCACGAAGCAGCCGCTGTGAATCGCAGCATAGACAACCTTCTCCCTTCCTCCTCCACTCCTCCATCCGCCTTCACGGCATTTGATTGAGGCCTCCCACCGCTGCTCGGCACTTGGCTTGCTGGGCATGCAATACGAGAGACCCTGCAAGACCCTGAGCTGGTAAAAACGATCCAGTGACTTATTCAGTCCGTCCCTTTAAAGAGCACCTCAAGGTGGGCACCCAAACGACATCCCCTCTGCACTCTCACTGGCCCTCAGTGGACCTGGAAAGCTCCAGGTCGCAGCGCTCTGGGAACGCGGGGTTCACAGCAACGCGCAGCTCCACGGAGTGCTCTCCAGCCATTTGCATCACACAGCAAAGCGAAGCCTAACAAATGAAGTTAGAGATGGCTGGCTTTCCGCAGCGTCACGCTAGCCATCTCCCACCCCGCTCATGGGGAACAGCTCACAAAAAAGGCTGGTCGACTCGGGTACAACGCCACAGGGCTGCTGTCTGCGGGCAGACGGGCTGTTCTGTCCAGAAAACACAGCCCAACAGCCACG